TTGGATAAAAGCGTCTGCTAAATGACTAAATGTAAATGTGTAGTTCACACAGTAGGATCCAAAAGTCTCAAAACACTCTCTCATGAAAATCTGGAAAGTTTCAGGATTTTGAAACAGAACATTTATGACATAAAAATGAGTTAAATCCCCCACCTTGCACCGCTATCCGAGCTGCTCATGGCCGTTACTATGGTCAGGCTGCTTGCACTGCTGCCAGGAGAAGCGGGCATCTGAAAAAAACAAGAGAGCAAAGATGAATAATCACCTTCACTGAAGGGACCCTAATGATGAATCTGTAATATTAAAAGCTCACGGAGGTGCTGGGTGTCATGAAGGCATCTGGGGTCATGAGTTTGGGCAAAGCTGATGGGGCTGGACTCATGAAGTCAGCTGGAGATGGAAGCGCCAGAATCTTACTCAGGTCATTCTGTGATCCACTATCACCAGACTCCTTATCAGAGCTCATGGCCTCCACGTTCAGATCAGCCAGTGGGTCAGAAAAACCTGGGAGGGAAATGCATTTTATATAATTTAAGCAATTTAGCATTTAATTTTAAAATTAACAAGTACACCATTTTCTTTCTGAGCACAATTAATTCAGACTGTAACTTTGGGTAAAATATATTTCTTTTGCTATAGCACTGTAGATTCAGCAGTGGCAGTCTAGGAAACATATGTGTAAAAAGTAAGATTATACATTCCCAGACTAACCAAAGCTATCCTGTGACCCAGACTGAGACATGAAGAGGGAGGATGAGGCCCCCTGATTGGGCTGGAACCAGATCTGCACATCCTGTAGTGATCTGTGGGCATAAGAGAATGTTACAACACCACAGAACTGAATGCAAACTTCATGTCTTCATCATGAGCTATTTTTTTATCTGAATAACTCACTTTGTATGCACACAGTACAGCTTAATCTGGATTCCTGATTTGGACTCGGAAGGTCCTTGGTTTCCTTCTGTCAGAAGATATTAAAAACAAAAATATTAGAAAGCATCAATGGAACGCATCTCAACTTACAGCAAGTCTATAAATATTTGCACACACAGCTAGCATGAAAATATGGAAAGAAACTGACCTGTCGTCATGCTTTCGCTTTCCTCATCAGGGGGAAGGACCTCAGTGTGGCGCAGTCGGGCACGGGC